AACTCTGCTCAGCAGACTCAGGTAAGGCAGTACATACACCTTGGTCAGGGTGGTTCCATATTTTTAAGGACCCCTTAACCAGTTCCCAATAGATTCACTGGAAATTCTCCAAAAGCCATTAGAGTTTCAATCACTTTTCCTTCCCCAGTAACCAACATTTTGCTTTAGGTGCTGCTTGGGGTACCCGAAATCATCCCCTACAAATAAACCCTTACACGAGGGCACAGTGCCCCATGAGGAAGTGTCTTTGACTTTGAGAGCAGACACTTGCACCCAGTATCTGTGAAAAAGGTTATGAGAACTTTACAGGGACCAATGGCACAAGTGATCAGTAAATCTCCTTTAGAGTTTCTAGGAGTCTTCTGATAAAAAGCCACACTTTGACTGCTGGCTCACCTACTGGGGATGAAGGAAAGGATTTCCTGCCCTCTTTTCTTTTTGTGAATCTTCTAAGGGAGGAGCATTAGCGGGGGCAGCAGCTATGGCTGATCCCTCTTTTGCCTGCCACCCTTTCACTAGTAATTCCAGTTTATCAGGAGGCTGGTCAACCTTACGTGTTTTTGGGATCCCCTTTTGCAAACCTGAAATCCAGAAAGATTTTTTTTTTTTCTTCTGTGTTTGCCACTTGTGTTAACTCCTCCTCCTTGTCCAGGGGAAAATGCCACCTTTTGGGGTATTGTCAGGGGCATTGGTGTTCTCCATTTGGAATCCATCTTAATGGGAGGCACTGGACCATATTTTCTGCCATAATGAATCAATTCTTCTGCCACTTCTTCCCAGGCCCAGATTTTGCACTCTCTCTAACTACCATCAGGGGTTACATTCCCTACCAGGGTGGCAACAGCTCTTTCCCCATTTGTGAGGCTTCCTATCTGCCCAGTGTTTTGCCAGTGCACAGGGTGAGCACAGAAGAAACAGACACATGCTTAAGGAATAGGTGTAATTTACTGCAATGCAAAACCGCCAAGAATCACAAAAGGAGAAGCTCAGCAATGCACCCAATCATTGCCACAAAAGATTGCCCACAGTGGTTAAGAAAGATATAGCACCCATTGCCCAGAGACATTACCATCCTCCAGATCTGCACATCAGCTGGGGAGCCCCTGTCACAGTGAAGGACTGGAGAGCTCCTCTCGGTAATTGGGAATTCCTGTGGTGTGTCCACCTGCAGGCAATGAGGCTTCCCAGTTCACTTTGAGAGGATCCTGGTTTTATATTGCTCAATAAACAGGGAGTGAAAGCATCGCCTGAGCCCCAGGGCTGAGCTGCCACTGCTTTCTTGAGCCCTGAGGAACAACAGCTCCTGCTGGGAGAACGGCCTCAGTTGGTCCAGGAAGCTGCAGTGAGGGAGGGAAGGATGATGCCCAAAAGCCAAGCAGCCCAGTTTGCAGCCAGCATGGAGCTCGCCTCAGGCCCCGCAGCCCTTTCTCCGAGCAGGACACCTCCTTGCTTCAGGAAAACTGCCCTCAGGGCACTGTCCCTTCTTGTCTCACAGCAGTTGACCCCAGCGGTGCTTTTAGTGCTGCCTTTGCTCTTCCCCTGGCCCTTGGGCTCAGGCTTGGCCACGTGGCCAATCACGCCAGGGAGGGGGTTTGGTTTGGCTCTAGGAAACGTTTTTCTAGAGGGAAACGTTTATGGCCAGGATGCCTTAGGATTTTAGCTTCTATATTTTTCATGTATCTGTAATCCTGTAATTCTGTAGCATATAATTCTAGACTCCATATGCACTTCTAAACTACTCTTCTCCCATATTTAGACAAAACAAATCCTCTCTCAGCCTGAAACTCAAGGACACCTTACTGTCCCAGCCCCCAAGATATGTAAAAAACTGTGAAGTGGGGAGAGCAAACTTGGAGTAAATAACTTCATTACCTGAAGCTGGAATTGGAGGGTTAACCCCCAATATGCAAATGGATAAAACTTAAAAAGCATGCAAAACCCATGACCAATTGTCCATTTTGGGTGTAGCGACCAGGTGGGCTGTGACTACCCTAAATGTACCTGAAGGCCCTTCAATAAATAGAAGCACTTTTTATTCTCTTATTTTTGTCCAGCCTGTGTTTAAGATTGGATTTAGGCATCAATGGCAAGAAGGGAAGGGATTCTGGCTTGAACATGAAGGAGGGATTTGCCCAGCGACAGCCAGAGTAACTGCCTTATTTCCCCACATTTGGGAGCGATTAAATACCAGTGTCTGCAAGGGGCCTGTGAGCATCATCGTTGTACCTGCAATTTGTGGAGACTTGGGCACAAAATCCCTTGTAAACCCTGAAGCTGTTGTGGCTCCTGCTTTCCTTAGATGTTACCTGCCCTGGCCCAGCTCAGCCAGTGCTTGCTGCTTTTTAATATGCTTCCATGACTCAGGCATTTTTCCCTTGCCCCGAAATCTCCCACTGTACAAAGCTTCCAGCTCTTTCCTGAATCGACACACGAACCATTTCCAGTAGGCCTGCATGGACGTATCAGGAAGAATGTTCCACGTGGAAACAGGAGGTCCTGCATCCCGGTATCTCTTGTAGGGGATCAATTTGCCACCAGAAAATCTGAATTTGCAATTGCTTGTAACAAGGCTGGAACAAATATCAATGACCAGGTGGTCTGTCCCATCCCACATGGTCCCTGTCAAACCTCGTGGGCGATGGAAGACCAGCTGATGGTCTCCATCGTGTTCCTGCATGGTGTTTGTGCAGACAGCCCCACAAAAGGGACACTGCTCCCAGCAACCCGAAAAMTGCTCTGCCAGGATGGTGTGAGGCTGCCTTGAGAATGAGCTCATATCAGCATCAGCAAATTCCTTCCTGAGACTGTCCCTCAGGGCAGCCAGAGGTTCAGCCATGGCACTTCTCAGGAACTCGATGTCTGTCACCTCCTGGTGCTCGATGCCCTTCAGGTCACTTCGGGGCAAGTTCATCGCCTCTGTCAGTTCCCTGCAAAATTCATCCAGCCACAGAGAGATTTTGTCCTCTCTGTCTATTCTGTCTTTGACAATTTGGGTTGATGAAGAAACCGCTGACAGGATGTTTCGATAGAGAAAATCAAGGGAGGAATCTAAAAATTTCTCCAGCTTCCTGCTCCCATCCAAACAGTAACTCTGAACTTGTATCCCAATGTATTTCCGAAAACATTCCTCAGGACGCTTAAGGTAACATTTGAAATACTCAAAATTGTCTTGTTCTGCCAGATACCTCAGGATACAAACTTCCAGATTGGCTCTACTGCCCTGGAAATCTGGGAATTTGCCCTGCATGTCCTCAGTGATGGCTTTAGCCGTCCTCTCATAGACCGCCCGGTTAAGAGCTGGGGCAATCTTGTCACAAAGAAATGCTACAAAAGTTGTGACAGAAGTAGCTCCTTCACATGAAATCTGGAAAGATTTGAAGAAATCTTCTCTCTTGCTGTCCAGGTACATGGCAGGGTTGTTTGCCTTTTGGAATGCTTCATGCATGGCTTTAAACCTTTCTGCTGCTGTTCTGCACAGATACAGAGACAAATCCATGCTGTAATCTTTGTTAAAAGTCCATGTTGAATTGCTGGGGACAGAGTTCACACCTTTCTGTACTTCATTGAGTATTTCATGGATAAAATTTCGACTGTAATCCCGTTTCTCCTGCTCCTTCTTATCAATGTTTGCCCTCACACACGCTATGATGTTGTCTGTGATGTGCTGAAAGTTCATCACATCAGCATCACAAACGATCCTAGTGAAAACACGATAAATCTTTTTTTTCATCACGTGTTTCTCTGGATCAAAAGAAAATCCTCTCCCTGTGGGAAATGACCTGATCTGTGCATAGAATCCTGGCTCCTTAAAGTGGTCTAGAAGGACATTTTCGATTTCCACATCAATATCCACCTGTTCCAGAGGAGGAGCAGCATGGGAGACTTCCGCAATCCACTTGTTCCAGAGTGAGGTAAAGTTGGCTCTCAGATCTCTATCGCTCAGGCTCTTCCCTTTCAGAGTCACAGCCAAGTCCCTGCTCCTCCTCAGGAGCTCGTCTTCATATTCCAGCTTCCTTGCATCCAGTTTAGTCTGCTCCTTCTGTAGCTCAATGAGATTCTCACATTTCTTTTTCGTTTCATGAAGAAGAGTCTCTTTTAGTTCTTTCAGCTTCAGCTCAGTGCCTGATTTCCACTGGATCAGAGTCTCATGGTCTTTGTCTTCCCTGAAATACTTTTTCATGTCTTTCTCAATGGCATCAC